AATTGGGCATTTGTGCAATACAGAGAGGTCTGTGTGTTTGACGCGACAAGACCCGGACACAACAAAAGAGACGCCATCGAGCGTTGGCGTTAACCGCAGGCGCGAGTTTAAGGCTTGACTCGTGTGGGCGAGTCTTCTTGAGACAGTCCCTAAGCGCTGTTCTTGCCCCCTTCGCAAGTCGCCGAAAACAGCTCTCTGACATCTATCTCTAGAGCCGCCACGATGCACTCAATCGTGTCTATTGAGACGTTGCGCGTGCTCTTCTCGACTTGACTTATGTACGTGCGGTGAAGACCCGCTTCGTACGCCAACTCTTCTTGTGTCCAGCCTCTCTGCGTGCGTAGCCTGAGAACGTTCGCACCTATCAGTGTTCGTAGCGAAACCGGCAGTTGAGGCTTTTCTTTATAGGGAATTGGCATCCGTTGAGTTTCATCTGGCGATGACTTTAGGTCATCCGCCAGAAAGAAGGATGTCTATGAGAAGGATGACTTTGAGTAAACTATGTGCTTTCGCTTTTGCGATATGTACTGAGAGCTTCTATGTTCATTCCCGTGTGTGGACCTATCTTCTGGCTGCGTGACTACGCTCCTAACCCCGGAAATCCAATTCAATACGGCGCGTTCTCCAAAGTGGGCCACGACAACTGCTACGTAGTGATGGTTGAGCACGAAGGTCAGGGTTGGCGGTTGCCGATTACGCGAGTCGTCGCTGACGAAACTTGGCTGGAAATCATGCTCGAAGAAATCAAGCCGGACCGGGTGCTTTCAATCACTTGGCTTCGGCCAAGAAAGGCGCACTATGGCTGGCGTGCTGTTGATGTGCGCGAACTTTTTCTAGAGGAGTGCGATTCCGTAACAGCGGGGTACAGGTTGGTCATGCGCACAGACGCAAACAAGCTCGTTGACTGCAATGGCAAAACAATTCCCGTCAGTCTCGACGTCTTCAGGCAGCGCGTGAGGACGCTATTTAGTGCGGATGAAGTAAGTGGACTCGCCGCTTAGAGAACTTCGTTCGCGTACGCACTAGGAGCCGAATTTGACTCACCAAAGAGTGACGCTCTTTCTTGATTTCGACGGCGTCACCCATCCCCTTCACTGCCATGAGAGTCGGCATTTTTCTAGACTTGCGGGTATCGAAGGCGTCCTCAGAGCATGCCCTTGTGTTGAAGTGGTCCTGAGTACAACCTGGCGCCTCCAACATCCTCTAGTCCAGCTACGTACGAAGTTCAGTAAGGATATTCAACACAGGGTGGTAGGCGCAACGGATGCTGCGTGCAAATTGCCAGAATGGCCTTCCCGATTGAATGCGTATCCCAGGCACAAAGAGGCGCACCATTGGATGTTGAACAATAGGGATGCCTCGGACCGGTGGCTTGCGATTGATGACCGTCCGTATCTTTTCCGACCTTTCTGTGACGTGGTCGTTGAATGCGACTCGAAGCGAGGCGCCGATGAGCCTGTACTTCTGCTGCTCAAAAGTAGGTTGATTCAGATGTCCGGATGCAGCGCATGAAACCTCCAAAAGGCAGGGGTGCAAAGGTGCTCTATTTGGACTATGACGGTGTGCTTCACCATGAGGATGTCTGGAGACATCCCCGTAGAGGCTTGTACTTCGGCGCTGAAGGTGCGGGTCACACCCTTTTCGAAAATGCGGGTTTGCTTGCGCAACTCTTGGCCCCATACCCAGACGTATTCATCGTGCTTTCGACGAGTTGGGTGCGTTCACTTAGGTACAGCCACGCGGCTTCCAAGCTTCCTCCAAATCTTAGAAGGCGCGTGATTGGCGCCACTTTCCATACGAGGATGAACTGCGACGCATTCGCTAGTCTCACCCGAGCGCAGCAGGTTTTGGAAGATGTGCAACGACGTCAGCCAAGCGCATGGGTAGCCATCGACGATACACTGGGTTGGCCTATTGAGTCGCTACCTCACTTCATTCCTTCGGACCCAGCGGCTGGAATTGCAGACCCCAAAGTGACCCGAGACTTTGTGATGAAGCTGCGATTGAACTTCGGACAACCCGAGTCGGCACTCGGAGAAAAATTCCACCCGAACCCGAGAGCGCAGTACAAGCTAAAACCGCATTACGACTAGCTGCCCCAGCCACTGAATCACGCTCTGCACATTTGGATTTGACGCACTCGTATCAGGAGCCAACGTGTCTGGTCGCAAACAGCATTTCATACCTCAGCTTGTACAGCGTGGATTCGCCGCCAACAAGGGCAAAAAACCCACGCAGGTATACGTCTTTCCCAGGGACAGGCCGCGGTATATCACCGCGACGGAACGTGTTGCTGCGCAGCGGGACTTCTACTCTCCGCCTTCCGATGAAGAGACGCTAGACGACAAAATCACACAATACGAGGGCTCCGTCTTAGCGCCAGCCATAGCAGCCCTGCGCGAGGGTGAGCCTGGCCCCATTGACTCCAACGCAGCGGCTGCCGTCGTTGTTCACTTATCTGTTCGCTCCGCGTTCCTTCGAGGCACCTTTTCGACTGCGACCGAGGAGCTCCTCAATGAGATGGTGAAAGCGCTCGGTAACGAAGACGAAACACGCTCTCTGTTGGGCCTGGACTCGCTCAGCCCCGACTCAATGATGGTCAATGGCATTGACGAGGAACTGCGCAAGGTATTGCCAGATGGGGTCGGCTATGCCGAACAAGCATTCTTCGCCAAGCTGGTGCACTTTCGGGGGCGAGAGAAGTTCGCGCAGATGCACACGGACCTGTCGAACGATGCTTCACGCGTATTTGCGGCGCTTCTAGAGCGACTACCCGAAATCGTTGATAACGCGCACGGCAGAGCGCTCGGACAGAGTCTGGTACCGCAGCAACGTGTGGACCGCCTAAAGGCAATGACGTGGGCTCTCATTGAAGCACCACAGGGAGCTCATTTCGTCTTGCCTGATTGTCTCGCGGTAGGCTCGAAGACAGAGGATTTCCGGGACCTGGAGCCATATGCGTTGCTAGGCGACGATGAACTGAGCGGCGTTGTCATGCCTGTGAGTGCGAACAAAGCTCTCGTCGGCTCCACCGGTGAGCCTCGTTTGGACGCAGCTGCCCTGAACGAGCACTTCGCGCGGTGCTCAAAGGATTTCATCCTCAGTTCACGGGATGACGCGGAAACACAAGGGGCCGCCGCTCTTATCGGCACCTCCGTCATGAAGTTTGTGGGTGACCTGGTCAACGAGACATTCGCACCACCTGCGCCTGTCGGCGGCGTTCGCGCGAATGATGACAAGCGTTCTCCGACCAGCGTGCTCGTGAAGTTCGAGCCTTCCGCGCGCAAGAGTGGCAAGGCTCAAGCTGTCTTGCGTAATCTTCTAAGC